CCATTTCCTGGATGTGACTGGGCGAGGACGCAGCTGCACACTCAGCGGGAAGCAGCGCTCAGATCCGGCCCGGGAGCGTGCAGCTCTCCCTGCAGACCCCACACGTCCCAGGGGGAAGGGTAGGGGGCTGCCCCATCCTGCACAGCGGCAGCTCCAACATCCCCCCCACCCCTCCTTCGGTGACAAGCACCCCGTGGACACGCGGGTGAAATCCCCATGGGATTTCGTACACCAGAAGACCTCTGAGGCACCATGGCCCTCGCCAGCCTGCCTCAGCCATCCCCGCTGCTGCTCCCGGGGCAGGAGTGGCACTGAGCACCCCGCACGTGGGGCACCGGGAGCCCGCTGGGACCCTGCTTGGCTTTCGGTAGAAAAAGCACGAAAAGCGGTGGCAAATTCGTGCGGGCACGCGGAAGCAGCTTGTACTGGATGTGGACATGAACCCCAGCTCGCAGGTGGCGGAGGAGCAGGGCAGCACAGCGGCGGGGACTCACCACTCCTCCCTTGTCGCCCTCCATGAACTGCACGATCTGGCAGGACGATTTCTCCCACAGGAAGATGTGGCCGCAATCGCTGCCGCTCACCACAAACTCACTTTTCGGGCCATAAAAATTGACGCCTTTCACTGAAAGGAGAGAAACAAGCAGCCCGAGGCCATCAGGAGCCGGGCAGCGCTCCCTGCCATGAATTCGCTTCCTGCCTGGCAGCCAGCGAGTTTCCAGGGTTACCAGCGTGGATCTCTTCCGTCCCCAGACACATAATAGCTCATTCTTTGCAAGCCCAAGAGTTTGTGTTAAGGGTCTTTTGAGAGGAAGATGAAACACAGAGAGCTGCAGAAATAAGCTAAAAGCAGGCAATTATTCTTCCGGGTTGCTCTGGGGACGGCCCCCCCACCTCCAGACTGCCCCAAAGCCTGGTTGCGGGCACGAGGAGGGGGAAGCCAGAGCGAGTTTGGACCCGCTGGCTGCCAGGGAATGGGACGCGGTGGTGGTGGGAGTTTGACAGTGACCTGGGGAGAGCCTCTGAGCCCCCCACAGCGGGGGATGCAGCCTGCCGGGGGGTGGTCTGCCCCAACACCCCTCTCAGCTAGTCCTTACCAGTGGCATTATTGCGATGTCCCTTGTATCTCTTGATGTACTCCGCTCCGTCACTGTGAGAGGAGTTGAAGAGATAAATGTCTTCATCGTTGTAGCTAGCCAACAGCTCTGGCATAGGACGGAAGAGACAGGCGTTAGCAGGGAGCACGTGGCGCAGGTGGTCTCTCTGCTAGGGGTGGGTGTGCTGCAAGCCCCCCGGGTGCCCGGCAGTGCCTCCAGCACCCCCCCCGTCCCCGGTGCCTCCCCCGGCCAGGATGGCTCTGTCCCGCAATGCCGCAGCCCGGGCCACCCGCGACTCGTCCATCAGCCCCGCTGCGGGTCAGTCACTCACCCGAGCCGTCGTGGCTGGGGGGGAGACCAGGGAAGTTTGGTCTGTACGAGACAGGTGATGTTGGCTTTGGACTCGCTGTTCACCTAGGGAAAGCACAGACAGCTCTGCTCCCATCTCCTCCTCCCGCAGCATACCAGCACACCTACGCTGGCCACGTGCCCGCTTAGAGAGCTCGGCACGCGAGTGACTGCTCTGCAAGAGCTTTAAAATCAGAGCATAAAATTGCTGCCTCTTCCTACACCAAGACAGGACTTCATGGACAGTGGAAGATTTGGGTCAAGGAAAAAAAAAAAAACACCAAAGCCCAGGCAGTTCATTCGTCCTCTCGAGCTGTTTTCCAGGCAGGAAGCCTGCAAGAGACTTGGCCAGCAAGCGCTTCTCGGCCGCTCCTACACGAGGCTCCCAAGGGAGCGCTCCGCAGATCCGGGCAGCAAGGTCTGCCCAGGCCCCATCCCAGGCTCTCGCTCCACAGCGAGCGCTGCCGGCACCAGCCCAGCTACGGGAGCTGGGCGAAGGCCGGTCCTGCTGGTGAGGCTGTCACGGGCAGCCCCGCTGCCAGCAGGAGACCCGTCTGCCTGTCCCTCACCCCGCAGCGGATGCAGTTCCCCCCCCAGGTTTGCCCACCCTGCGCCAGGCTCGGCTTTGCTCGGTGCCGGCACGCAGGAGACGGGCACGCGAGCCGCAGCACTGCGGCAGGGCTGCTGCCCACCCACGCAGGTGGCTGAGAGCCGACGGCCACTGCGGTATGTCCTCCGCCGGTCCACCCGCCCGCAAGCTCTCCCATGCCACGTCCCCGCAGGGGAGGGACCCCCGGTGCCACCCATCGCGCCGGTACATCACGAAATCGAGCTGCTTACCAAGTGGTGAGGGCAGAACTTCTTTAGTACGCCGTTGTTCTCATTCTCATCTATTTTCCGCTGGTCGTAAATCCTGGGGGAAGGATGGCAGGCATTTGGCACTCGCTCGAGACACGAGGGATGCCGAGCCGATGGGCACGGAGGGCCGGCGCTGCCCACCTCTGTGGGCCAGGGCAGGAGGAGAGCGGCAGAGCGGCAGCTTTCCCCGACCACGCAGACGCCATGTCTGAGCCAGCTCTGAAACCACGACCTGCCCTGACGCTGGTCGGAGGCTCCGGCCCTCTCCAAGGGATCTGCGGAGCTGCCGAGCGGCCCGGATGGGCAGAAGTCTCGGCCAAAGCAGCTTAACGTCACCTCTTGTTATGTCAGAGGCATTGCTCGGTGGCGCGTGACAATGTCAAAGCCTGCGTGCACACAGGCTGCGAACCTGCGTTCAGAGCTCTGTCAGCCCGGAGGCTGCTCTGCAAGGGGGACGTGACCGCCACCATGCTTGTCCCTCGGCTGGCTTGGGCTCCTCCGGGTCCCCAACCTCCTGGAGCCTCCCTGATGCGGGAGCCCACCAGGAGCTGCCCAGTGCCGGGGAAGCCAGGGGGAGAGGAGGCACTTGGATATGGGCAGAGGATGGAGAGAGAGCAGCAGAGAGCGGGAAGGAGGGGAGGCCGTGTTTTGAGCAACAATCCTGCGCTCTTCTGAAAGCTACTGAGCTAGCGAGGCACTGGCGCTGCTGCTTGAGCAGTCTGCGAGCCCATGTGTTAGGTGTTTCTACGCCCGGCACCCCAGGAGCTGCTGCCTGCATGCCAGACACCCGCATGGCTGGCGCTCCGGGGAGCTGTCGCCGTGCGAGCGATCCCAGCGGCAGGGCTGCGGCGTCCCCCCGCTCTCCGAGGAGCGGCCCCTACGCATCCTCGGGGAGCCGAGCGACGCTGCAGCTCTGCTCGCTCTCGGGGAGCTGGGAAGCAGGCAGGCTTGGTGCATGCACGATTCGCTTCTGCCCAAAACAGATGCCACACGAGCTGCACCTTAAAATCCACTGGCTCCAGGGGAGCTCTGCACTGATGCAGGGAGACCGAGGGGCCAAACACACGGACACAGCCCGGCCCCATGCCGGGGGCTGCCCTGAGCGGTTCAAAGGCCAGGGGGGCTTGCATTTGTCACTTAAGGAGCTCGGCCCCGCTGAAACCGAGACCTTCCCTGAGCCTTAATCTCATCTCCGATGCCCACCGGGCTCCATCCACAGGTGGGGAACCGAGAGGAGGTTTGTCAGAAGCTCGTTAAGAGCATTGCTAGTTCCTGAGGGAAGGATCTCCCGGCTTCAGGGCAGGCTGGACAGTGGATCCCAGGGCTAAACCTCAAAGGATCCAAATCCTTCGCTATTGATCCCCCTGGTGCTCCTGCTGCTTATGGGAGAACAGGCTGCGGAGGCATTAATGACTGAAGCCACAAACGTTTCTGGGGTAGGACATCAGAGATTTCAGAGCTCGCGGGGGTACCAACTGAGCCCCCATGGGAATGTTCAGGTCCACTTTGGGGACTCAGTCTGGGTCCCCAGCAGAGACTCACCTGACAAACTGATCTCTGCCTCCCACAGCAAACTGGTAGGTGTTGGCTGGGTTCACGTAGATGGTGTACAGACCCACTTTCTTCTCCTTTTCCTTTGTCACAACCAGTTTCCTTTAAGAGACAAGGAAAAATAATAACAAAAAAAAAAAAAAATCCTCCTCGAATTCAAAACAGGGTCCAGATGGGAAAAGCAGGAGCTGCGCGAGTCTCTTACTCACTCCCAGGAAAAAAAAAACCACCACCCAACCATTTCAGCCTCCCAGCTGAACCGAGCACATGCTCTGTCTGCAACTCAAGGGGCGCAAAGTGAAATCATTCCCTGGAAGGAAAAATTAACAAAAAAAAAAAAAAAATCCTCCTCGAATTCAAAACAGGGTCCAGATGGGAAAAGCAGGAGCTGCGCGAGTCTCTTACTCACTCCCAGGAAAAAAAAAACCACCACCCAACCATTTCAGCCTCCCAGCTGAACCGAGCACATGCTCTGTCTGCAACTCAAGGGGCGCAAAGTGAAATCATTCCCTGGCGTTTTCCTCTGAAACGTCTGAAGGGTTTCAGGGCCCGAACTCGAGCCCGATGGAGCCAGACAGGCAGCAGCAAGGGCAGAATCGGATTAACTCCAGAGCAGAAACGCTCTGCTGTTATTTTTCCCCACCCGTCTCGCTGTAATAAGGCCCAGATTTAACGAAATCCGACACACACGCCATCCCCCCTCCCCCAGGAGCTCAATATTTCAGCTTTGCAGACACGAATACAAACTGAGGCAGCATCCTCAAGAAGGAACAGCCAGCTCAAAAGCTTGTCTTTCTTCTAATTATACCATTCGGCTTAATGAAAGATGGGAGCTGCCTACAGTCTGCCTGCGAACCCTGCCTCCAGAGCGGTTTCACGCTCACAGGGTGATGATTCCCTGCGAGCATCAAACCCAAACAGCAGCGTGGATCCCCACGAAGAAAGAGGAGGGACAGACCCACGCCAGCCTACTGACCAACAGACTCCGCTCGAAACGAACCCGGCAAATGCGGGGCGAGCAGGGATGAGGATTAAATGCGGCTGTTTTGAAACACCCCGGCAGTTTTTGTCCTGGTTATGAAACAGATGGGTTTAAGGCTGTAGACAAAAGCACTCGCACATACAAATAAAACCACACCACCGGGAAATGAGCGCCGAAGCCCTCAGTTTTAAGCAGGATCATCTTCAAAATAATATGCCGCTACATTGGAAAAGTACCATGATATCAAAACCAGGTGTCTGTTTGAACACCCGCCGCGGATTTATTTTGGAAGCTTGTCAGAAACGGCAGATCTCTCGGCGATACGGGTTAAGATCCAGCACGCACCACCCGGCTGCTTACTAATTATTGTTTTTCAATTAACTGCAATAGCGCTCATGCGACGAGCGAGTCAGGCGAACCGCGAGCTCCAAGCTGCTGCCAGCATGGGGAGGTTTCAGTACTGTGATTAATCAGCCACTTCATTGCGCAGAAGGAGCGCAGGACCCTCAGCGCTGCCCCCGGGATGGGTAAAGGGGTGCCAGACGGGCAGCCTTTGGCAGTCGCCGCGGCAGGCACGCCTGTGCAGGGACCTGCCGCACCGGTATTATTTCTGTTTCCTATCTGAACAGGGCCCCATCCCGGGGAGGATGGGGGTTCAAACGCACTTGTCTAATTAGCAAGGTTCATATCTGTATCCTCGCACGAGATGGCAACCCCAGACCAGCCACTGAAAAGCTCTTTGGTCTGACCCTGCACCTCAGGGAAGACAGCACTGCTTGAAAGCCAAAGGATATCTCTTTTCCCACTTTATGCCCATTGAACAGGCACGTGCTGCCGTGAAAACGCAGTGGCACAAGCGGGACCCTCAGCCCTATGCAGCCGAGCGCCACCCGCTCGCAGGGGAGCCCCCCGGGACCCCAGATCTCCCTCCGGAGCTTCCCCGGTCCTGGCAGTGGGAGCGGGTAGAGAAATACTCACGAGGCGGGCCGGTCTTGTCTCAGATCAATGGTGAAGACTACAGCATCTTCACCTGCTGATAGGAAAGTGCATGGAGAATCCGGTTCTAGGGCCAGCTGGAAGATAAATACTTGGGCATTGGTTCCCTTTTTACCCAACAAAGTGGCAAGATCCCTTTCTCCCAGTAAACAGTCGGCTATTAACAGGAGCCGACGCAGCACCAAGCCCTCTATACCCACGGCCGAGTGCTCACTTCGCTGCTTTGCAGGGCACAGAGACCCTCCTCGTCACCCTCAGAGGTGACAGCGATTATAAAGCAGCATTTAAGAATCGGTCCCTCCATGGCAGCGGCTCTGCCTTCACTATTTCTGGCAGCCGGTGAGCCAGGATGGCACCCGGGTGTTTCGGGGGTCCCCAGCTGCCGTCCGCCCCCTCCGCGGGCTGGTCTGGGCTCACCTTGTGCGAAGCGCCTTTGTGTTGTGCCACGCGCTTGGTGTTTTTGCAGCACTGGGTGGCGGAGAGCTCGGCCACCCGGACCTGGCCGTCCCGAGCACACATAGCCAGAGTGGAGTCGCCGCTGTTGGGGAGGAACTTGGCCTGGAAAAGAGCAAGTGAAGGGGTGGCTTTCAACACCGGGGCAGGGGCTTGCGTATGCATGGATGGAAACAGGAGAGGAATCGAGAGCAGCACCCCTGCCAGACCCCAACGAGCCCCGGATGCTCAGATCTGCAGGCAGCGACTGCAAAACCTTGGCTCGACGGGCCGAGCTCTCCGAGCAATTGTCCCGGCCCTTTCTGGTGAGTGTGGAGAGCCGGGAGCCTGGCGGAGACGCTGGTGGTGCCAGCGTCCCTCCGAGCACAGACAGTGCCCCGGGGGGGCGCACAACACCGCCCGGCCTCCTCCGAACACAGCTCCTGCCCACAGCCGCTCCCAAACCTGCTGCTCACCGGGGCCAGAGGAGCAGAAGCTCTGCAGGGAACAGGGCCATCTCACCCCACCGTCCCCAGCCAGGGGCCAGGGAGACGGCAGATTTTAGGGCACACCAGTGGGTTTTGATGGCTAGTTACCACCGCACAGCGGCTGGACCTGCTGCTCACCGGGGCCAGAGGAGCAGCAGGGGGAAGCTCTGCAGGGAACAGGGCCATCTCACCCCACCGTCCCCAGCCAGGGCTCCGTGAGACGGCAGATTTTAGGGCACACCAGTGGGTTTTGATGGCTAGTTACCACCGCACAGCGGCTGGACTCCTCCCGCAGCCCTTAGCTTTAACGACACGTTTCTCCTGCCCCGCACAGCATCGTCCAGCTGAAATTACATGCTTCTAGAACAGGCACCTGCCCACCGTGGGGGATCTTCTATCACCCCCAGCCCTCTGAGGACCCTCCCCGTATGCTCCTCACCTGGAAGACGTTGCTCTTGTGGCCGCTCTCGAACTCCAGCACCGGCTGCCTCCTGACCCAGTCCCACACCACCACTTTGAGGTCATCGCTGCCGCTGGCCAGCCACGTGCCACGCTGGTTAAAGTGCAGGGTGTTGACGCAGCCCGTGTGGCCCTCCAGGCCGTGCTGGAGGCGGAAGCGTTGCACGAAGACCCTGGCCCCACAGGCCTCGTAAACGAAGCGGGCGCTGGAGCCCAGCTCCCTTTCCCGGAGGGCATGGACCGCCTGCCAGCGGGGCTGGGGCAGCGCCGTGGTCTCCGAGGACACCCAGTCCTCCAGGGCCTGCTCGTCGTCAGAGGAGTCTTGGTCGTGGTTGGCACGCTTGCGCTGGGCACGGCGGTGGGACCGCTGCTCCTCCTCTTCGTCCTCCTCCTCTTCCTCCTCCGAGTGCGACCGGTCAAGGGCACGGTTCTCCTCGTTTATGGAGTAGTGGCCCGTGTCGTCCATGCTGTCAGAGTCCTTCTCTTCCCCCGAGCTCTCCGTGTCCGTGTCCCGACTCTCTGTGCTGGTGCGGTTGGGCCCCACGTCGTCTCCCGTGAGGCTCAGGCTGAGGTCGGAGGCCTCCACCTCAATGCCAGAGGAGGTTTCTCGGCCCTCCTCGGCTGACATCTCCTCCGGGCTGCTGGACAAGCTGCCTGCATGGTGCAGACAAGGCCATGAGCCTCCCCAGCAGGAGACCCCAGGCACGGGGAGACCGGTCCCCACTGGCACCCTTACCATTCACTATGTCCGTCTTCCCCTCCATGCTGCTCCCTTTATCCGACATCGCGTTTTCCAGAGCGCTCACCCTGTGTGCGAGAGAGAGAGAGAGAGCAGAAGCTGGAGCATCCCTGCCACGGCCAGTCTGCCGAGATGGGGACGTGCTGGCCTGTCCCCGTGTCGGTGGAGGTGCACGCACATCCACGGCATCGCGGGCTGGTCTGGAGAGCGCCGCTTTCTAAGGGAAAACGGAATCAGCGGAGGAAGCGGCGCGCACGTGGCTACAGGCTCGGTGACCACACTCAATGCACCCAAGCGTGCACGACAACAAAAGCTCATCGGCTATTGCCGAGGGCAGAGGAAACAGTCATGTCCCTTGGCTTCCACCGAGGCACCCGCGGCTGGGTAACAGGGCCGCTCGCCGTCATCCCCTAAACTCCTCTCCAGTTTCTAATTTGCTCAGACACCGTCGACTTAGCAGGGAAGCAGATCTGCGACCCGCTGTGCTGCCTCTCCTCCTGCCTGCGGGATGGCTGCCGGCTTCCGCTGCCTGCGCCCGGACCCTGCTTCGCCTCTCACAATAAGATGGGCGCTTCCCGACTGGCAATCCCCAGCCGCGCTCAGGGGAAGGAGGAGGTGTTGACTTCGGCTTGGCAGCAGTTGCTACAGCAAGGCAGCTGCACAACACACACCCCTGGCTCGGGGCAGGCAGGGAGGCAGGAGCGGGGCTCGGATCGCAGGCAGATGAGGCAAGGTGGCTGGGAAGGCAGCGAGTCACGGTATCGAGAAACTTCTTGGCACCTGCAGACCGTAGGCAGCCAGTTAAAAGCTGCTCAAGAGGTTTTTTTAACCCCAGCGACAGATTTTTAAACACCTTCCCACACACAAAATCCTCCCGGCATCACCGAGGGGCCGTTTTCCTCCACGCCACGGACAGGACAGCAGCCCCAGACACCTTGGCTAGGTGTCTTGCCCACACCTTGCCCACCCAGCCTCCACCAAGAGCAAGCTTTGGCCTTTGGCACCCCCAACAACTCTGCTCCTCCCGGGGAGTGGGCAAGAGCGGAACCAAGCGACAAGGCCAGGAGCTCTCCGGCATTTCCAGTTGCTCCAGGAGAGGTTCACCAATTCCTCACGAGCGCATGGAAAACCAAAGGCAAGCACGTTTTTGGCTCCCGGGCGTTTCCCAGCCCTTGCTTTGGAGGGCCGACTGCAACGGGGAGGGGAGGCACGGGCTGCAGGAGCAGTGACGGCCCCGCTGCATCCGAGGACGGCATCCAAAGCAGCCTCAGCTCCTCCCCGCTGTGGGGGCAGCTCCCACGGGGCTGCAGACCCCCCCCTCCCCCCCCAGGATTGTGGTGCTCATCGCTTGCCAGTGGTCACAGGTGGCTTTTGGCGAGAGCACCTGCCAGCAGAGCCGCCTCGCCGGGTCACGCCGAGACACAGGAGGAAAAACATGTCAGAGTCACGAGCGGCAGAGGTTTTGCCAAGGTGGAAGGAAAAAAAAACCCCCCACATTTTATTTATGCTTTGCTTGTTCTTTACTTTCCTTCTATTTTTAGTCAGACTTCTTCATACTTGGTTTAGCTGCTTGCTCTTAACCAGTGTCAGGGAGTCTGCTAAAAGTTCCCCCGTTTACACGCAGGGAAAAGCCAAAGCCAAGAACATCATTAACTCTGATTACAGCAAACACTCCAGAGACTAATCCTCGTTAGACTGGGAATTAATACCAGCGGAACCCCGAAGAGCCAAAGAAGGCGAAAGGCTCTGCCCAAGCTGGGTCTGTCACTGCCAGTCCAAGCCTGAGCATGGCTCCTCTCTAAGAAACGGGTGATTTAGGAGGCAAGCGGGGCTCGCTGAAGCTGCTGACCCACAGGTACAGCTGCAGGGCGATGGAGCAGGGGCCACCACCACCGGCACCGCCCAACAGCACCGCCGGGGTGCCCGGGAAAGGCCTGGGCACCCGGGCTGGCTCCGGCTGAAGTGTGATAAAAGCTCTTACAGCACAGGAGCGTTTATAAGGAAACCAAGTTTATGCAACGGAAAACACCAGCGAGCTTCAGCCGACTGCAGTCGCTCGCTCAGTAACGAGAGTAGTAGTGCAGAACAAGATAAAGTGTTTTCTGCAGCTTCAGTTTTAACTCTTCCCCAGCTGGCACTGCCAGCTCGTATAAAATCACTTTAAAACCACCAATACTGTGGAGAGGGGGAGGAAAGGGCTGAAAAGCAAAGTCAGGGACGAAAGCTGCCCCAGAGCCTCAGCCCTCCTCTCCCCTGCCCAAACCTGCCGGATCTCTGCTCCACGCTGGCAGCCTGACACGGTGCCGAGCCCGTCCCTCCAGCGCCGGCGGCTCTCAGCACGTGAAGGCTCCGTGCCAGCAGCACGGCAGGGAGAAGAGCGAGCGTTCACCTCCCGCAAAGCGCCAAGGCTCAGCCTTACGAGGGGATTACTCACCGCCGCGGCGGGGGCGACTCGTGCTCGCTCAGCCGGCGAGTTCATGGTGCCGCAGACGGTGCCCCGTGCCTCGCCAGGTCTGTCCCCGGGGGCTGCGGGCAGGACCAGGCAGGAGCTGGGGCAGGACTGGTTTTAATTTACTGCTCTAAGTGGCGAGGCGACTCCATCCCTCATACGGTGCCTGTCATGCCGGATGAGTAAGGAACGGGCTCAAAACACTGCAGTGCTCAGCTGTGGCTTAACTCCCCGCTGCCCGAGTCGTTACGAGATCAGAAAGTCCATCAACAGGTCGACTTTCCCTCTGCCGGTTATTTTGCCTTCGGCAGCATTATTAATCCAAGGGGCTGGGAACATCTTTGCACGTACAAAAAGAACCGGGTTTGGACTTTGCTCCTCGGTAGTTATTTTCCTCTACCAAATTACCTATTCAGATCTGTCATTAACACCGTTTCGCGGCAGCCTTTTCACAAAGGTGAGGAACAAGAAATGCGCTTTCAGAGGAGAGGAATCCATTACCAAATAATTAGCCTGACTTCACGTCTCATCCACCCACACCGGAGGACCATAACCTTGCTAAGAAATTAAGAGAATTGAGAAAAAAAGCCCTCAGCTGCCTTGGCGGAGCAGACAGCAGGGACAGACACGGCCTCTGCCAGCGCCAGGGACACCGTGGGGGACACTGCGCTCCCCAGCCGTCTTCTATGCCCAGGAGCGCAACACCAGCCTGTGCTGGCTGCCCGGTACCGATGGATAGCCAGGCCGGGCGCTCGGCTCCAACAGCTCTGCGTCAGCCTCCCCAGCCACCCACCAGCTCCGCTTGCAGGCGCCGAAGCCGTTCACGTGGCAGGGAGATTGAAGCGCGCGTCGACCGGCAGCCCCGCGGCACGGCACGGCACGGCACAGGGCGTCGTCGGCACTCGAGGGCTCAGGCAGGGACAAACTGGCAGCAGGAGGACATGGGGGAACCCCACGCTTGAGTTACTGGCAGCTGGAAACGCAGACGGCACCAAAGGTATCGCTTCCACCTCCCCAAACCGGGGAGAACTGCTTGAGGGAAGCAACAACACACTGTTCGGTGCGGACCGGAGGGAGCTGGGACACGGTCAGCCCTGCAGAGAGCCCTGAGCCCTCACCTAGATATTTGAGTCCATCACCGAGCTGCCAGCACCAGGCTGGGTCTCCCTGCCAAGGTGGCAATGCCTCGGGGCACACGTCCAGAGCCAGCGAACCAGCCCAGTTCCAAAGCACCACGCAGAGCGACCCCAGGAGCAGACACGTGGGTTTTGCAGTTCCCTGGAGTCAACATCTGAACAGAATCAGCGCTCCCAGCTTCACATGCTCGAAGCCTGACTCTCCGGCACCCTCGCGAGGGCCCTAAAAATATCCCTCCGCATGCCACAGCTTCCCGGCTGCCTCTGCGGCCGCCGGGATCAAGCTGCGGGTGCTGCCACAGTGCTGCTGCCTCCTCTCCCTGGGACAGGAACGGCCTCGACCCACCAAGCGAACGCCTGGGGCTCAGCATCCTGCTGGCACAGCGCACCGGGGCTCACTACCGTGCCGGGGCCCACACCGCCAGGCTGCCCCACTGCCTGCCAGACTCCAAGCGCCCAAACCGGCATGATACCGGTCAGCAACTCCAACGGTCGTGCCCAGGAGACGGTCCTCTCCATCCCGAGCTGCTACCCCAACCTGTAATGCCACGAGCCAGCAGGACACAGGCCATGCTCCGTGCGGCAGCTGGCTCCAGCCCCTCGCTGCCACCCGAGATCCACCATCCATCCACGGTTGGTTACCCGGCCGGCACGCGGTAACCCTCTGCAGCGCCCGCAGGACTTGGCCACGTGCCGCCGCATCGCCAACCCAGCCGCTTTACGGCTGGAAACCCAGCGCTCGCAGCCGCTTCGTCCCTGAACGATCTATCATTAAAATATTTACATAGCTATATAAACACACGAATAGCCGGGCACTCGGCACTCGGGCCGCGTTCGGACTATGTAAAGCAGAGGAGCAACGGGGCCAGAAGTGAGTGCGGGGCATTTTTGATCCACCAAGAGCCCCTCACCTCAGTTTCCAATGTCCCGGCATGCCAAGATGCCAACAGGACACCGCGGCACGGCCTCGTGCCTGCATTTACGCCGGGTCCCTCCCGCACACAAGTCGCGCTGGGCTCGGCTGAGCCTCTTCTATTTAAGGAAAGTTTTCTCATCAGACCTGGACGGAGGCAGCTTCGTTTGTTCACTGCGGAGGAGCCTTCCTTCCCCCCAAGATGGTGTCGGGGGGTTTAAACCCCCAATTAAACCTCCTGTGATGAGCAGGTTTCCACCCCGATAGCCCCTCGTAGGGGAGAGGCCGGCCGGGCACCTCCAGTTTGCCGAGATGTGGGCAGAAACCTGCCAGCGGGCCGCATTCAGGAGAGCCTTGGTTAATTACAAACCTACCCGGGAGCCCGGCAGGTCCTAGCGATGACACTAATTAAGCAGCTTCCCGTTTGCAATTACACGGAGGTCCAGAATCCCCATCTTGGAGCATCCTGGGCACGGCAGCCTCTCTTCGGGGGACGCAGCACCCACCTCCCCACCGCTTTTCCCAGCCATCCCACGGCACAGCCCCAGCTCCCCCAACGCCTCGCGGGACGGCGTGAACCCGCTCCCAGTGCGGGCAGGGCCTAATTAACTGCAGCTAACAAGCACTGGCTGCGTCTGCACGCAGCGCTGCTCCTTCCCCGTCCAGTGCCCGGGAAGAGGGAGGCTCCCGGCTCCCTAGGGGGAAGCAGCAGTCCTGAGGCTGAGGAAAGCCCGGCCGGCAGGAGAAATCCTGCAGGAGCGAAGGGGCGAGCAGCCGGAGGAGCCCAAGGCCACGCCACCAACACGAGTAATTCAGCATCGCGAAGGAGACCGAGGCAGGCGCAGCCCAACAATCCGCCTCCGCCGCACGCAGGACAGACGGACAAGAGGCAAGCGCTGCCAGACCCGGGGCGGCCCACTCACCTGCACGGCGGCAGCGGTGCCGCGGGCAGCGAGCGCCAAGGCCGGAGGTTTGTTGGCAGCTGACGGGAAACAACAGGTTAAAGCCTGGCAGCGCAGGGTCCGGCCGCACCTGCCCCAGGGACCCCATCTCCCTGGGGACCCACCTGGGGACAACAGGGACTCCCTGGAAGGGAGGGGGTGAGGAAGACCCAGGGACAATGAGGTTTGGACCTGGGGGGCAGGAGGGACCCTCAGCCAAGCTCCCTCCCATGACCAGCTCTAGGGCTGGAAGGGATCCCCAGTGCCCCCCCAAGGCACCATGACACCACAGGGGGCAACAGGGAAGGGGCCCTGGGGGTGGGAGGGGACCCTCAGCACCCCCCTGAGGCAAGGCAACACCCTGGGGACGGCAGGGGTCCCCTCAGTGTCCCCCCAAAGAGACGAAGACGCCACGGAGGCGACAGGGACCAGCCCTGAGAGCAGAAGGGACCCCCGGTACTCCCTGAAAGGGATGGTGACACCCCGGGGGCAACAGGGACCAGGCCTGGGGGCAAGAGAGACCACCCCAACACCATCCCCACAGGGGCAGCAGGGACAGTCCTGGGGGCAGCAGGGACCACCCCCAAAGGCACAGCCCCAAAGGCGGACCCCCTGAGGGCAGCAGGCAGTGCCCGATGACCCCACGCCCCACG